TTCCCTGGTGGCACAGTGGGTAAGACTCTGCACTCCCAATGCAGGGGGCCTGGGTTCGATCCCTGGTCAGGGAACTAGATCCCACATGCATGCCTCAACTAAGAGTTTGCATGCCATAACGAAGAAGTCCGCGTGCTGCAACTAAGACCCGGTGCAACCAAATAAATAAATAAATGAAATTAAAAAAAAAGAGTTTCTGATTTTATAACAGGATTATTGATAGAGGTAGGAGAGAGTGGTATATCAGAGTTAAGAATGATAAATGCTGTCAGTAACATTGCACTGCAAATTTGAAAGCTGCTAAGGGAGCAAACCTTGAAAGTTCTCATCACAAGGGAAACAATTATTTTTAACTTTTCATGGTGACACGTGGTAACTATATATTGCACTGATCATTTCACAATGTGTACAAATGTTGAATTAGTGTGTCATACACCCAAAACTAATACGATATTGTATGTCAATTATACTTCAAATACATCAATAAAAAAAGGATAAATGCTAGCAGACATTTGATTGATAACATTTCTTTAAGTAGAGGCTAGCAAAACGAAAGGTAGAAGAGATTATTGAATTGACACTGAAGAATCTCACAGTTCTTACTTAATTTCACAAAGTATCGTGGCAATGATTTGACTAGGGGGTAGTTCTCCAATGTGTAGACAACCTTGATATGAAGATGATGATTCCCTTGGACTCTTGTGTGCATGATTCCCTAAACTCAGAATGGTGTTGGGCATGAAACAGAACCCTGAGAGAGGGAGACTTAGGTAAGGAAGGGCTCAGTTCCCAGGTAACAGGAGCAGAGGGCGGGCATCCCAGGACTGAAGCTACTGCTCAAGGGACTGGGCTGCTTCCCTCTTCCTCCATGTGGCCTTCATCCTCAGGCTTATTAGATGAGCCCCATCTAAGGGCACCATCCAAATCCAGGCAGGGAGAAGGGAAAATGGCAAAGGGAAAATGCTGAGTCGGCTCTATTTTCATCAGGAAAAACCCAGCTTGGCAGAGAGTCCCATCCCCTGAGACTGTGGATCCTATAAATGAGTCCCACATAGCTCATTCATCAGAATAACGTCACGTGGTCACCTCTTACTGCAAGGGAGCCCGGAAAATTGAAAAGTTTAAGCTGGGCACATTGCCAGCCTATGAACAAAATGGGGATCCTATTATGTGAGAAAGAGGGGGAGAAGAGGTGCTGGGTAGGCGACTAGCAGTGTCTCCCACGGTGGGAGAAACGTGGGAACACAGAGGTGCTGCATCAGAAGACACAGCAATTACATAGGAAATACACTCCGCCAAAGAGATATAGGACTAGGAATCATTTACAATAGCTACATCTTTGAGGTCTCTGGTTATAAGCAGGATAAAAGTAAGTTCACCAACACTTTTGTGAGTTTGAGCTTTGTTATTCATAGAAAACAGAAGGGTAGGGGCGACTTCTCTGGCATCCACCCAGTATGAAAACTCAGAATGTTACTAAGGGCATTAATAAATAGTAGTAACAATGGCCAAAGGGTAGAGTTAGATAATATTTCGTGTGTCAATCCAATTAAACAGGCATGGACAATATTGCCAGACAGAGTATGAAGCTATCGTAAAAAAGCATTTTATAAATAATATGTGGAAATTGAGAACGTGTCCCATTTTGACATCAAATTCACAGCACTTAATAAATTATCCCTGGTTATTTCCACGTGGGACCACCAGATCCACATTTCCATTAGATCAATCAAAATTATAAGCAATGAAATTCAGAATATGGCTTTCTTACTGAACAATAAAAATCCCAGAACAGACTCAGGCTACGCTTCAGACTGTCAACGGACTGGCGATTTTCCCATGAAATCCAAAATTTTGAACAGTAAAGTTCATCTGACACCAACGGCAAACTCGGGTGAAATTTAGTTAGTTGATGGGAGTTTCTTTATTGGGTAAAAACTCTCTCTGAGGAGTTTCAAGTTTCCATCATTTAACTTTTTAGAAAGTTAATAGAAGCATATTCTAGATCATCTTATGTGTTATTTCACTGTCTGAATTTAAGTTTACAGACACAGAGGCACCAAGAAATGCTACTTTTACTGTCTCGAGTTAATGGTAAGAGAAGCAGGTTGGACTTCATGCATTAGGATGCGTGGATGTAGCACATGGGTCAAAGGTCACGGGATACAGACATGCAAAAAACTGCAGAATCTAACTGAGAAGAGTGATGGCTGAACTGAGTCAGCCCTTGGCTTGTGGAGCAAACAAACTGAAATGAACCAGGCATGGAGCATAGACCACCATATTCATGATTTGTGTGAGACTTCAGATTTTAAAGAAACATTACTGGCCAGATTAAATTAATGTTGTTCATTTGAATGTAACGGTTTTACTGTTTTGTTTGTATTTAATTTGTAAAGATGTTTGGTTTTATAGTTACATAATGGCCGTAAACAGAAGGAGTTTGGCCCTATTTTATTTTTATACATATTTAAGTAACATCATAATCAAAACAATTTAACTCTATGCGGCAGTATCAAGAAATCATCTTGTAAAGAGTCTCTAGGCTACTCAAGTCTGAGAAACACTGTTTTACAGCTTTTACTCTGACAGAAAATGGCAATGGAGGTGATGCCATTATTTCCAAACCAAATGCAAATTCAATTATAGGTTGATGAAGAAATACTTTACAGGTTCCATAATTCCCAACTTTTTGGATTAGTGAAATCATTGTTCAATGGACAGCTTATCCTCTGAAAAAATAATAATTACAAAAACACAAAACATAAATTTCTGTGATCCATTTTAAAAAAAAATAAATTATATCTCTCTTGAGTTGGACACGTCTTAGAAAGTCTGTAGTACAGTCACCCTTCTGGGACACTAATACATAGAACTGTAAAATCTCTGACACACAGTTGTCTGGGATGCATCTGAGTGAGGCTGAGAGGGGCTTTGAACATACCGATGTGTATTATGTGATTCTGAGCTCTTCTCCCCAAGACCACAGCCTCCTCGGAACGTGTCGCTGAGTGGGATTTTGATGGAAATGAATTAGGAGGCTGAGTTTCAGTCTGAGGTCAGCTTGGGGCAGAACTGAGCCTGCAGGCTGGGATGCTGGGGACCCTAGTAGTCAGGACCCTGGACACAGAAGGCCTTTTGAAAATCTGCAGAGATCTTCAGGAGGCTTAGACTCTTGTAGGGCACTGGGGTTTAAACGGGGGTTTAAAGCAACCATTTCTGGACCCCAGGAGCTGGAGAGACCCCTTCCGACTCCCAGCTCTGTCAGGGGGAATTTCTGAGTCATGTGAATAATCACTATAAGTCACTATCTTTTAGATTTTCAAACTAGATGTGGAAGGTGCTGAAAATGATCAATAGTTTTATCAGTGATCAATAACACGTTAACTAATTTTCTTTTAGTTCCTCCAGAAGTTACGAACTGGCAGTGCCAGTGTTGCTGGTGTGTCTTCTCCCAAGAAAACACGTTCCATGGGGCATCCATGGCCTTCAAGTGCGATTTGACCTTTGACAAACAGCTTTCACAAGTACAGCAAAAACCTAGCAAAAGTTTTTTAAGAAAATGTCACTCGCTGTTAATAACCTTACTCTTTGAATCCTGATACATCCACATTAGATAATAAGCACAGTGAACACCAAAGGGGTTTAAATAAACCATAAGCCTCCTATGTCAACTTACAAGGCTCACTCATTACAATCAACACCAAATAGATCTTCATAAAACAATTTTTTAAAACCCTAAAACCACACAAAACCACACAAAAAAGAAAGAACAGAACAACAATCTGACTAGCTTTCCCTAAGATCTGCTTCTCCTTTTGCTACTCTTTAAAACGCTTCTATCTGGGTTTGCCTGAGGGTTACCTGTTGCCTTTGCAAACCTTTATTAAAAATAGCTGCAAGTAAATAGCTAAAACATAGACAGCTTGCAAAATAAAGCAGCCAAATAACACATGGGTGCTAGAAACAAAGGAATTCCAACGCATCTCTAGTCTCATAGGGGTTCATAAAGTATAACACCAGCATCAGACCCGGGAACTTGTTAGAAATGCAAATTCTCAGGCTCCACTCCAGTCCTACGGAATCAAAATTCTGGGGAAGGGTTAACCCAGCTGTGTTTTAAGAAGCCTTCCAGGTATCTGATGTGTGCTAAAGAACCACTAGTTTGAAGTGAGACCTACTATTTTTAAAGCCTAGCTTCACTATACAGCAATAATTATAAGACATCACTATAAGATGGGATGGAATGAGTGTATTGTTTATGATGATAGCATGCATGTGTTTCAAATAAAAAGAAATGAATATTATTTTCTTCATGAACTAAACTTTATATGGTGCTTGAATACATAAATGAAGGAGCTGAAGATCTGTTTCTAAATTGTTTCAGATAAAATTTGAAATAAATAATAACCATTAACATAGGGTCAGCATTGCACTCCTCTGTGCTACACTAATATACACAGTCAGACCTGTGGTCTGTGGCTATTAACAAGCATTTGAAGACTGGCTATACTATACATCTCATTCACTAATTCTTTCATGATATGAAATCATGTCACCAAATAAAAAAAAAAAAAAAGAAAAAAAAACTGGCCCAAATCAATCATAATTGGAACAAATCATGTCATTGCCCATCTATTTAACTACCACGACTAGAGGCTCTCCTAGCAATAAAAGGAAATATGCCTTAAATAGAAGAACCATAGTTTCAAGTTTGCTTCTTATTTGAGTTATAAACTACAGGTTAGTTCTCCCATCTGAAACCATTTTAAAACAAGATGACATATTTTGGGATCATGAGACAAGCTATCAAAATCTCTACTGTTCCTTCCATTAGGCTTCGATTTGTGTAAACTCAATACTCTTAGACACAAGGGTTTTTTAAAGGCCATCAATAAAAGGCAGTTCTAGTTTGAGAATTGATGAACAATCTACTCCCTTGTCACAAACTATATAAAAGTTGATTTGGAAGCAATACCTTGACTGCTCCAGGAGCCTACCTGTCTGCAGGTAAAGGTTTGGAATTCCGCGGCTTCTTCACTTGGGCATACAAAGCATCCATCATATGCCCTTCTCTCGGGCTCTGGGGTCTGGTGCTGAGAGCCATGGAACCTTCATAGGAAGAAATTCCCCCGTACATCAACTCATCATCACAGCCAAATGTCCGATGAAAATCTTGGATTTCAGCATAGTCACGCTCCCGAGCCTGTCGCTCCCTAAATTCTCGAGTTTTCGCTTGAATCCTGTAAAATTAGAACAAGTTGGAACAAGAGAAACTATGCCTTTCCTAAGAACTTCATATAGAAACATTCCTCAAAATACGTTGTAAAATACCTATTATTTCATGTAGTTCTAAGAAGATAGATAGGATAAACGATGTTATATTCATTCTAGATTGTCAAGGTAATGTCATGGATGCTCAAAAATTATCATTTCAGATAGCTTTGTTCATATCAGTAAGACATAGTCATGATTTACATCTTAATTTATCACTTATTAACTAGCTTTTAAAGTTCACTAGGAATAGTTTTAGGCATCCACTTGGGTTTTACTCATGAAATTTTTTGAGGCAAAAAGTTACTTTTTGAAAAGTTACACACACATATACTATATATGTATACATTTACGTGTGGGTGCACCATGTACAATCTTACTCATTACAAATATACCATACACATTCAACAAACTATGAAGCTTAACCATGAATCCACACCACAATTCTTTATTAATGGCAAAAGAAGATCTCAGTTTAATGATAGTGACTTTCATTTTATGTGATGTATACAGAACTGGCAAATCCTGAGATAAAGGACAAGAAGGCATGTATCTAATCAAATTTTGAAATAAAACTTGCCTGTGTTATAACTAAGAAACAGACCTTAAATAACCCCTTTTACTGAAGATATGTTTAAATATTTCCTAAGATTTTATTAAGCTACTTGGTACAAAGTCCTCTTCAACCTATTGAAATAATATATGTCCTATGATGGTCTTAGTTAGCTGAAGATAATTCAACTACCCTTGATAGAATTTTGATAACTTTTGATGGAAAAATAATATTTCTATTACATACTTACAAATTTAAATGTTAAAAGTGAAGTCTTATCTATAAAAAGCAGTACTTTCAGCTGTGTTTAATATTTTATTGCAAAGTTATTTATCTTTTTCATACTTGAAGTAGACCACTGCTAGCGTAAATGATATATAAATGTATTCAAAAGAATACAGAAAAGATAAAAAATCAGATGAAAAATCAGTCCAATATTAAAAAAGAAAACTACAGGTCAACATTTCTCATGAATATAGAAACAAAATTCCTTAACAGAATATTAGCAAATAGAATTTGGAAATATATAAAAAGAATTACACACCATGACCAAGTGATGTCTATTGCAGGAAT